ATTTTAAGTCCCTTAATCCGATATAGGAATGATATGGTCCTAGTAATAGTATGTATAAGACAAGTAGTACAAGTTTATTTAGTGGCATATTGAAGGAATTCTACTTTTTGTCTGTATGCATTTCTGTTAAGTTTATTCCAACCATAAACCCTTTTTAAAAATCTGGCTGAATTTAGCTATCTTAAGGTAGTTTTTCAGGCTTAATTTGATATGCTATTCTTATATCAAAATATGTAATTTTATTAAAGTATTTACTGAGTTTTAATTTTTCATGTGTGTCTTTGAATATATTAGTAAATGTTTTATTATAACTTTATACTTTAATAATAGATGCCAGCACAAAAATAAATTAACTTGGTTGGTGTAAAAATCAGAATCATTGTTATTTGTTATCATCACTAATTATCTAGATACCTTAAAATTAAAAAAGCTTTATAATGAAGATATTAGAAAAAGAATAGTTGTGAATTGGAATTTGCCTTAAGGTAGTGCAGTGTTTCAGCCTGGTGATACCTGACACTGTCAGGAGATCCTGTCTGAGCAAGGGTGAGATTTCCCCTTTTATATGTACACAGTTGCAGTTGTCTGACTGTTCACTGGGGTTGAGTGATCTAGTTTACCTTTCTCATATGTTCTGACTATGGGCTTGGCTGTGGTCACCAACTAGCTAACTTAGAATTCATCACATGGTTCCTGGGTAGTTTACAACAGCATTAAGAATGAGGACAAGACCCAAAGTGCAAGTGCCTTCCTCATATCTACCGTTGGCACAGTTGCCAGTGGTCCATTGGTGAATGCGAATGACTTAGTCAAACAGTTCATGTATTTTTCATATTTGTTTATCTAAAATGTGTAAATTTGAAATGTTTGTCCCAAGGATATTCAGTGCCATTTGTTTCATGATTAAAAGAAAGCTAAGTTTTATTTCATTACTAAACAAAATTAAGATTCCTATTGTGAATTATTTTCTATTGTGAATTGTTCTTATTTAAAAAAGTCTCCATGTATATATATATATATATATATATATATGCACGTAGTATATATGTACATATATCAAACATACACTTACATATAAAATACATGCATATATATGTGAATATATATATAAAACGTGTATAAATGCATATATGTATATATATAAAAGACTGAATAGTTTTAAATACTCTAGTACATGTTGTTTCTTTTAAGTCCTCAGTATATTTTTTCATTTATTATACTTTTAAGTAATGAATATTTCATTTATTATTATATAAAAACTTGCATAGTTAGTTTTTAAGTGTTTTATCATTTAAACCTTCAATAAAGGAAGGCCAAGATTTTTGCTTTGTAAAGTAGGAAATCTAGTCAAATGTATGTGTGTGTATAAATATATGTGTGTGTGTATGTGTGTGTATAACTATATATACATATAGTCAACTCCAGTTTTTCTCAACTACCAGTTTTTCATTTTGGTAACTGACTGATGCAATTGCCCGTTATTTAGAATCTTACAGTTCTTGGTAGGGCATATTGAGTTAACTTTCTTAGTAATAATGTTTTGGGGAACTACATTTCTTTTTTTCTTTTTTTTTTTTTTTTTTTTTTTTTTTGGTACCAGCGATCAAACTTAAAACCTTGAGCTTGCCAACAGCTCCCCAGCCCTAGGGAACCACATTTCTTACTGCCTTTTTCTCCAGTCATTGGCATGGATCATTTTATTTGGTTACAACCATAATTTTAATTTTGTAGTCTTCCTATAAATAATATGTTCAAAGCCAGAGAAATTTGTTGGTTGAGAAATTCTCAAGTTAATGGTTATTTTAAAAAATGACTATGCTCTACCACCCTCCCCAGTTTACTGAAATAATGAAAGGCAGTTATGGAACTGAATAGTTTTTAAATTTAGTGTGCTGTACACAAAAAAATTTCTATGACTTGGTTGTATTTTATTTTTAAATACAATATTTAGAGCTCATTACAGGGACCTTCTTCAAGTCTTAGTGCTATAATATTTAGTGACTATTGAAGTTCCTTCTTACATGACTACATATATTAACAAGTTTGTTCTATTCATTTATGGAAAATATAAAGATGCTTGAAGATTCCAGCAATGTAAATTGATTTTATAGTTGATTGAGAGAAACCTTAAGATGGTAGCTAATATTAATAGAACAAGTCTTATGGGAAAGTTAAAGATTTTATTTCTGAATATTGAAGATTTTCTTCATTTCTTTTAATAGTTAAGGAAATAAGTTTAATATGTAAGTATATTTTGATATTTAAATAATGTTACTAAAATTAAAGATAGGTTTTGTCAAATAAGTAGCTTTTGTAAAGTTAGAATAGTGAAGAATTAGAAATAGCAGAAAGTTTTGGAAGTTGAATTTTCTGATTTTTTGTCAGTTTGTTATTTTAACTTTGAAATTTAAATTTTCAAAAGATTTAGCATAAAGTGCATTTCAAGTGAGGTAGTTGTTTTTATGATATTTGTTGGGTTATTCTTTTTATATCTGGCATGCTATTGCTTTTATTTACTGGACCAAGTTAAATTTTCCATGCAGTTTCTGATTGGTAGAATACTACACATTTTTAATAATATTTAGCTAATATTTACTGAGCATTTAATTTCAGGCTCCATTTTAAACATTTAACATGCTTTCTCTTATTGATCCTCATATAAACGTGACGAAGTAGGTGTGCTTTACTACTTAGAAACGCTTGCTCTGAGAGATCAGGTAGTTTACTTAGGGTCAGATACTAGTGAATGAGAATCCTGGACATTCAATTCAAGCAGTTCAACCTCAGAGCTTATGCCTATGTATTAATGATGACCACAGTCTGTTTTCATAATTCCTAAGTCCACATATCTTTGAGAAAAATTTTAAATAGCTTCAGTAAAAAGATCAGTAATAAGCTGCATATATTTATACAGTTGATAACTTTTGACATACAAACATACACCAGGAGCTATTTCTATAAAATACAACCAAGTCACAGTGCATTTACTCCTCAACCCCAAAAAGTTAACTGGTGGTAATCTCTTTGCTTTCTTGTGTTGCTGTCACTCCCACCCCCATCTGCATCCCAACATACTCTACGCAACTATTAATCCACTTCCTGTTATATTGTATATTGCTTGTAAATTGTATGTAAGTGGAATCATTCAGTGTGTCTTCCATTTTGTCTGACTTCTTTCACTCATAAAGATGTAGGGATTCATCGGTGTTGTTGCATATATTAATAGTTTCATTTCATTTTACTATTTCTGCTCAGTAGTTTTTTATTGTGACTTATACCACAATTTGTTCACTTGATCACCTGTTGAGGGACATTTGAGTTATTTCCACTTTGGACTTTACAAAGCTGCCGTGAACATTTGTATATGTCTCGTATGGACATAATGCTATTCTTCTGTTGCCTAAATACCTAGAATGGAATTGCTCATTCACAGTATGGGAACGTACTTAACTTTATAAACTGTCAGAAATTACACCTGAAAGATATTCAGTATGTTTTGTAGGATGCTGTTTCTATTTTAAACATGAAGTAAATATGCATTGTTACCTTCTCAAATCTGTAAAATTCTGAATTTGGAAATGTATGGCTTTAAAATTTTTAGAAAAGAGGCTGGGGATTTAGCTCAGTGGCATAAGCTCCTGCCTTGCAAGCGCACAGTTGTGAGTTTGATCCCTGGTACCAAAAACTTTTTAGAAAAGGAAATAAGAGCTGAGTATGTAGTGCACACCTGTAATCCCAGCACTCTGGAGACTGGGGCAGGAGGAGTGCCATGAGTTCAAAGGCTGGGCTGGTCTACATAATGAGAACCTGTCTCAAAAAAAAAAAAAAAAAAAGTTGAAAAGAAAAGGTGATACAGATTTTTGTCTTAGACCTAACAAGGTATAGGTTGAGTATTACTAATCTAAAAATCTGAAATCTGAAATGCTCCATAATCTGAGAGTTTGAATTGCTCATATGATACTATGAATGAAAAAACTTCACACCTTACTTCATGTGACAGGTGGTAGTTAAAATGCAGTTTACTCTAAAAAAATTGTATTATTACCTTCACAGTATATGTATAGAATATATAGGAAACATAAATGAATTTTGTGTTTAAACTTAGGTTCCATTCCCAAGATATCTTACATATATGCACCAATTCAGATCTGAAAAACATCCAAAACCCTAAATATTTATAGTCCCAAACTTTTAATGAGATACGTAGTCTGTATTACAACCTGATTTTGTTGACACATTAGCATGTGTATACTTTGTTAAAGTTACATAAATGCTTTAGAAAGAAGATATATATTATTACAAATATATAAAGTTTAAGCAATTGCATATCTGTGCGCACATTCCCTTTAAGAAAGAATGAGAACCAGGTGTGGAGCTCACACCTGTAATCCTAACACTTGGGAAGGTAAAATTTGAGACTAGCCTGAACTACACAGTAAAGCCCTGTCTCAAAAGTTAAAAAAAGAAAGAAAAAATTAAAGAAAAAAAGACAGAAAGAAAGAGAATATAAATTATGTGCATATTTGATAGTTATTTTCATTTTAAAATTATCTGGAATGAAATTGTATGTTGATGAGATTAGAAAATACGTCTTCCCAGTGCTTAGTGTTAGTATGAATAGTAATGATTATATCATTGAATATTATTTGTGTGCTTTCACAGGGTTAATATGAGTTAGAGTTACAGCTCATGACTTAAAAATTAAATTTATGATATACTTAGGGTTACACAGTGGGCCACTTAGCCACATTGGAAACACACATTCTAATCTCAAAAATCATTTGCTTTTGATCATGCCATGCTATTTACTGTAATGTTATATGTTAGAAATCTAAGTTGTGTTGCATAATTAAATTCTAGTCACAGAGTAGATAAATCTGATGGTTTTATATCATTTTTTGTTTTTTCCAAAATTAAATATATTATGATTTGTCTTCTAATGCAGTCAATAAAATTTACCACGTCTTTCTTATTTCCTTTGTTTATATTTTCTCTTGTAGGGTTACATTTTGCCATCTGCCTTTCCAGAGTAAGTGGCTCTATGTGGGCACTGAACGAGGTAATATACATATTGTCAATGTGGAGTCCTTCACACTCTCAGGCTACGTCATTATGTGGAATAAAGCCATTGAACTGTGAGTTTGAGCAAATAAATTCCATATCTAAAATCATCAGGACCATATAACCTGTAAATCCACATTGAATTAAATGTATTAGACAATCAGTATTAAATACTGATTTATTAGTCTTTTGTTAAGTATTGTCCTATTGGCTTGTTTGCATATGCTTTATATATATATATTAATAAATTACATAATTATAATGTACTTATTCACATATGTATAAATTGTAAACCAAGATAAAATGAGAGACATTATTACTAGTTGAAGAAAACACTTTAAATATTTCCTATTCTTTAATCTTTAAATTATTTTTCTTTTAAATGTTGGTCATGGTCCACAGAAGTTTGCCTCCATTGTTTCAAAGACTACTGATTTAATAATAACAAATAGATGTAAATATTTGCTAAAGTGAACATGTTATAGAAATTAATTTTAAGGTTAAATTTTAAAAATTTTGTTCAGTGATGATTGTTTTTAAATTATTAATATGATGACAAAAATGAGGAGCTGTAAAGCCCTTTTCACTCTTAAAAATTTGTTGTATTTTACCTCTTTCTGCTATATTTTTGAACATTAGAATTAAAGTTTAAAGATATTGGCAAGATCCAATTTTAATGTTTCTTTTTATTTTAAACAAATAGTCTTGTATTGCATTCCACAGTACTTATACCTATAACAGGATAATTCTGTGACATTGCTTAGGTAATGTGTTAGTGTACTTGTAGTATATTGAGATTGGTATTCTTTCCTGTGGCTGGGGCATTATTGTCATATATCAGTTCCTTGTATAACAGAGTCTGCATTTTGAGTTGATCACATCATCTAATGGTTAGGCTAGTGCAGGTGTTTGTCGTTTCACAGATTCATGAAGTAGAATGGATTTTCTGCCTTTGGAAGTTTATGAATAAGGATTGATTTTATCCTTCTGTATATGCATCATTTCATTTCAACCATATTCTTATCTGTGTGACTTCTTTACTCTAAGAAATTATAAGTAACATTACTTTGTTGAATTTTTTTTACAAAAGTTATTGAATATTTGCTGTTTGGAACCAGATGGGATGTCTTGATTGGTGACTAGTAAAATAATAAGATAATGATATTTTAAAAGGCTGCATTAATGAATTCTACATTGCAAGAAGATTTTCTATGTTGATTGCTTTGACTAATTTTAAGATTCTTTTCTAAATAGAAAGTGTAGTTAATTGTAAAATTAGTTGACATTGGGCTGGGGCTTAGTGGCACAGCACCTGCCTAGCAAGCACAATGTCCTGAGTTCAATTTCTAGTGCCCAAAAAAGAAAAAAAATGTTGATATGTATCAGTGTGAGTCATTTACCATTTTTTTCCTGTGATTCTTGTTTTGATCCATATTAAGAACTTTATGTACTTAATTACCCACTGAAATGCTTTCTTCCTTTTTAAATAAAAATAAATCTAAAAGCCAGTAAACGTGTTTATTTTTATTCTTGATTTAATGAATATGTAGTCATGTTGAAAATTTTAAGGAGAAAAATATCTTAACTTTTTTCTCTTTTAGGTCATCTAAATCTCATCCAGGACCTGTTGTCCATATTAGTGACAATCCAATGGATGAGGGAAAGGTAGGCTGTCTCTGTTACTTAAATGAATCATATTTTGTGTTTTTAAATATGCAAACTCTTAAGTTGAAATTGCTGTTATGTGATTGTATACTTAATGAATTGTTATTCTTTGTAAAGAACAAGGAAAGAATGATTTGTAATTTGAAATGACAAAAAATATACTAACGTATAAGTAAACTTTAATAAATACAAGTTACTAGTTTTTATTTGGGTTGCATTAGTTTTTCTTTGGGTAACTCAGTATTTTCCCTAACTTTCTGATGAAACAGAATATAATTTTCTCTTCTTTGGGAATTTTTTAAAATTACTTTTAAGTTGAATTGACTGTTCAACTTTTATAGTACTTATGTGTTACTTTATGTTATATATCTTACTTAAAATGTTCTTTGTAAATAATTAATAATACAGGTATGTTTTGAAATGTTATTTTTTTATACTCTAAAGTGAGTTTATACAGTCATATCTGACCACTGTTACATTTAGGTTAATGCATCAAAAATATAATAAACTTTTCAGTGACTCATTATTTCCTAACTGAAAATAATCTTCTGGATAGTTCTATTTAATAATTATATTTTTCAGCCTATAAAATTTTATGCTATTGATCTAAATAAATACCAGGAAGTTTATTGCTGTCAGAAGTTAGTGAAGTGAAACCTATGCATTTTGTGAAGAAATTTACACAGATTATTCCTTTATTCCATTTGTGGGAGAGGTCAAGCCCGTTAATTATTCAACACTTTTTACTGTTTCACTGGAAAAATAAAAGGATAATTATTTGAAATTATGTCATAATCATATAATTGTATGTTTCAATAGTTATTATATATAAAGCAAGTATGCTGTAACTTGGAGGCTTCTTTTCTTTTCTTTTTTTTTAATTTAAAAGCCAAGCAAGCCTTTGGGTTGGAGACATGGTGATAGATTGAAAAATGTCTTCCACTTTGAGTCATTAATGGAAGAGTTCCTTTCTTTGCAATACTCTTATCTCTTCTATGTTCACACTCGTAATATAACATTGAATGTTCAAGGCATTGTAGCCTAATCTTTCTTATTTTTATTTTTCCACTATTGGGGAACTAATCCAGGGATGCTCTACCACTCATCTTTAGCCCTTTTTATTTTTTAAGACTGACTTCTTTGAGTTGTCCCTGCTAGCTTTGAACTGGTGATACTCTTGCCTCAGCCTTCAAAGTAGGTGGGATTATAGGCTTGGTTCATGGACTGGCTTTCTCTAAGGTGTTTGCATGTTTGTTTTTGCAGTACTGCGGTTTGAGCACAAGGCCTCAAACACACTAGGCAAACATTTAATCACTGGGCCACATAGCCAGCCTTTGCCAATTCTTGCATCATTTCTAGGTGAATCTTCTTAGAAGACTATTTTAATCTTAGTATTCTGTTCAGTTTTCAGCCGAGTCTGCAGTATGTAACAAATGTTTCTTTACTATGTAACTCTAGGTTTTCTTTACCTTTCAGAATATCTCTGTTTCAGTTCTATACTGAAGCACAACGTAGTTGTTTCCCAAATATGAATTGTTCTTTGCTGCCTACTTTTCTTTCTTTATTTGAATTTTTGTATTTTTAGTTCTGTCCTACTATTCTTTCTTGGCTGAATGTCTACCCACATCTTAAGACTACATTTAGATACAATTCTTGCCTGATGCCTTTGATACTCCTGATTGAAAATACTTTCACTACTCCATTCATTAGTACTTCAGTGATGCAGGTTTTATGGTACTTATCATGCATTGTCCTGATAGAAATGTGTATATTTCAGCTTCTTTGAACTTAGAAGTCTAAGAACAGAAATAATTTTTTATGTGAATTTGTATTTTGAGTGGCGTTTAACATAATTAAGATAGTAATTACTTAATACAACTAAAAGTAATTAAAGAATGAAAAAATTATATGTAACTTATTATTGTCCTCATTTTTTGAGCTCTAGCTGTGTAGTATTCTCTTTAGTTCCAAGAGTAAATCTCACTCAAATATTTTCAAAATATTAGTGCTTTGGAATATATTAACACACAATATCAGTGACTTTTCCCTATTTTCAGTATTACTGACATTTTCATTACTAAAAAGGATGTAAGGTGAGAAGACATGTTTTTTTAAAGCTCACCTTTTGGGTGGGTGCTACCATATTGAGCAAAGGTCTTGTCTAACGAAAATTAAGAATTAGTATAGATGCCTGCCTGGCAAGTGCAAGGTTGTGAGTTTGATTCCCAGTACCAAACAAAATAAAACACAGCAAACAAACAAAAAAATCCAAAACAAAAAAGTATAGAATTACTTGAAATATTTTTAGCTGACATTTGTTGAATTCTATGTGTTAAGGACTAGATATGTGATATAATATCTACCATTTTTAAAAAATCCTCCCTGTGAATTTTAAGTTAGAAATCTTTTCTATTTTACAGATGAGGAAGGAGAAACTTGCTGATGTATGTTCCAGAGATGTAGAACTGGGTCTTGGTGGATCTAGGATTTGAAACCTGATTTCTCTGATTTTAACCTAGCACTGTTCTGTATTCTGCTGCATTTCCTTTCTAGTCATAGATTGGATTTTGATATTTTAGAGATCTGGATTCATATTCCTTGTACCTACTGATACATTCTATAAGAGAAAAATTCTGAGGAAAATAGGCAATCGTGCAAAACTATTATCCCTATGAGTTATAAAAGCAAAGGAGATTATAGGCAAAATATAACCTATTAGTACCCATTTCTGTCTTAGGCTGTTATAAGCTGGCTAAAGAAGTTAAAGTTTAGTATAATCCTCTTAGGTTATTAAGAGCCAGATAGGTAAAATTAATCCCTTAATGTTATATAGCTACTATGTGGGAATTTTAAGACTAGATCTTAGGTTTCCTATGTGCTAAGCTGTTGACCTTGTGTGTCACTTACTGAATTTTATTTTTTCCTCCTCTTATTGGTGACGTTTATTTTGTACTTTCCCCCATGCAAAAATGACCTATCATATGTCACAGATACTTAGAGGATTGATAAAGAGATAGGAAATAAGTACTGTTTTTCCCAGAAAGACTGTGTATCTCACATTGCCTAAGAAACAAATTTGAGTTAGGAGAATTGATTATATTCTTTATCAAGGTAGTGAAACCTATTTTGATAGCTTCAGTAATTTAGATTTTCTCTATAGTCTTAAAATATGCTGAATTTCTATTTTATTGAAGTTACTGGGTTTGTCTCCAACTTTATTTTTATTTATAGGCTACTTTTTTATATTTGTTACACAAATATTGAATGTCTAAACAGTGGGTACTGTATTAGATACTAGAGGCATATAGATGAGGATGCACATACTAGCTTTAGAGAAGGAAGATCTTGGTCTGTTAAAGAGAAATTAGACTTAATCATGAAAATATTGCTGACTTTTGACCAGAAAGATGACTAGAAAATTGCTCAGTGAGTGAAAAGGGAGGAGATTTTAGCCCAGAGAATACTGAGGTTTAAAAATTCTTGAGCAGAAGTGTGGGACAGCAGAGGTTGCATAGACAGTGTACTCATTTGTGCGCCAAGAACATGTATTCCATTCTGGAATATCTATAAAACCATTTTTTGAGTGATTGTAACATGTCAGGCCTTCTATCATATGTTAGATGTATAGTAAGCAAGAAAAAAATCAATCTTTACCCAGGTAGCCCATTACTACAGTCTTCAAGAATATTCAAAGAAAAAAGCCATATAACATGTGGCTAACAGTACTGCGTATTACTGGAGCACATTGGAAGGGCATTGACTTACACTGTTAGGTCAAGGAAATGTTCCCAAAGGAAGTGACAGTTAATATAACATCTGACTGATGAGTAGGACTAATCATGCAAGGGGTGGCATTTAAATGGAATGGGTCAAGTGGAGAGGTAGCATATGTAAAGTGTCAAAGGTAAGAGAATGTATTGGGTAGCAGGCATGGTAAGAGAAGAAGCAGGAGAGGTACACAGCAGTCAGACTGTGCCAGATCTTTTAGGTCATGCTGGTGAATTTGGACTTTATCCTGAAACTAATGACAATGCCTGGAAGAGTTTTAAATAGAAGAACATATGACCTCATCATGTTTCTAGTTCAGAACCGTTACTCTAGCTAAAATACCAAATGGGTTAAATATGAGGAAGACTGGGTTCAGGGAGATCAGCATACAGATCTGTGTTGAACCAGGAGGGGAGATACTAGTGAGGGAGGTGCATAAATTAGATAGTAGAATGTAAGTCTTAAGTTTACTTGTTTGTTTTGTCTCTTGGAGAAGCTAGAGTTAAGGTTGCCCGTAGGTTTCTGGCAGAACAATGGTAATGTTTGTTTTGTCTCTTGGAGAAGCTAGAGTTAAGGTTGCCCGTAGGTTTCTGGCAGAACAATGGTAAACAAAGCTAACCAGGAATGCCAAAGAAGAAGTAGAACAGTATAATTAATTCACTTTTGTACATATCTACTTTTAGGTTCTAATATAGAAGATAAGTGCTGATGTACACTGAAATTATGTATCTCATGAGATCTAGGCTAGTTTTATAATTTGTAACTAATTAATATATAGATATAGGTAGCTAATGTGTAGAATTTAGAAAATTTGTAATCACTAAATCAATAATACTTTGTTAAAGTATATTGAAGATATATACTTTAGGACATTAAAATATTACTGTTTTCTTTTCAAATATCAGATATATTTTGAGTCCATAATTATTAAAGGCTTATAAACACAATACATGCATGTTCTCCGTTTGTCATCTATGTGATTAGTAATTAGCCATACAAGTATTTAATTATAATTTTGTGCTTGAAGAATGCGGGTGATAATAGTTACATTTATTGTCAGTAGATAAATATTTTGTATAATAGATACCATTCTAAGGTTATGGCCTCTTTTATTACAGCTTTTGATTGGCTTTGAATCTGGAACAGTAGTCTTATGGGACCTCAAATCAAAGAAAGCGGACTACAGATATACATATGATGAGGTAACAATTTCATTTTTGATAATAAAGCTGTTGTCATTCTTTACTTCAATGCAGCTTATCCTACAACTTACTAATTTAATTTAGAAACCTATGAATTGCACTTAAACAGTGAGCTTATTTTTGTTTTCATAGTGATGTGTTCATATAGGTTAAAAGAGTGAAAATCTCCTTTCATCCCTCACATGTGGTCATCTAATTCCTTTTCAGCTATTGTGTTACCAGTTTCTCATGGAGAACTCCTGAGACAGTCTGTTTATAAACGAATTGTCTATTACTTCTTTTGTGTTGATGATAGTGTTCAGTAGATTTGTTGTTTGCTTCCTAAAAAGTCCAAATAAAGGTTGTGATAAGTCTTTTTAAATCTGTAGGTCTCTTCCCCTTACTCCTTATTCCCTTTCTCATTTTACTGCTCCTTTTGGTCATGTCTTCCAAATATTCGATTTTTCTGTCTTCTTCTGTTGTTTTTAAGCCACATTTTTAATCTCTAAATTGGATAGTTTACTACAGTTTGATAAAATTCAAGTTTTTTTTGTTTTGTTTTTAGCAAGAATACATCATACATAGAGGTGATTCTGATAATTTTTTGTCAGGTGGATACTTAGTAATGTTCATCTGCAAAATAGGGACATGCTCTCATTCTTTTTCTGTAACTAGTACACTATAAAAGAGGAATTTTCTCTTACTTGATGTTTGGTTATATAGTAATATAGCTCATATTGGAAACCCAGAATAAATTCTTTTTTTCCCTAGGTTTTGCTAGTTTTCTTTTTTCTTTTTTTTTTTTTTTTTTTTTAGTGGAGCCAACAAACATGATATTTGTGTAAGTTTTTAAAACGTTTTAAAATCAGGTTTTATTGGTGTATCTTAGATAAAATAATGATCACATTCATCATAGAGAATTAGTACCTATACATGATACAACTTGGTTCTCATTTTCCTGTTCACTTACCCTCCCTGCTCTCCTCTGAATTTACAAAAGCTTCATTTCAATTCTTTTCCTCTTTCATTTTTAAAACATTTTCTCTTTTTTTCTTTTCCTCTTCCCTATCTTTTGATCCCCTCCCCATTTGGACATTTTCTTCTTATTTCAAAACACCTATTATATATTTTGGTCCATATTTACATTTTCAGTTTCTCATTCCAGACGAACAATGTAGTATTTAAACATGTGTGTTTATTTCACCAAAGAGTATAGTCTCAAAGTGCATGCATTTACCTAGAAATGTCTTGAGGGTGTCCTTCTTTATGTCAGAGTAGTACTCCATTGTATAAAAAATATTGTCTCTATTCAGCAGTTGACAGGCATTTGGACTGTTTCCAAGATTTGGCAGTTACACAGTGTGCCACTATAAACATGGGTGTGCATGCATCATTGTGATATGATGTTGTTAATTCTTTTGGAAAGATATCAAGGAGGGAAATAGCTAGGTCAAGTGGAACTTCTAGGCTTTAGTTTTATGCCTGGTGATAGGCATGGATCTAGTTTTAGTCTCCAGCATTTTTGATTTTTTGTCTAGTTGATCTGTATTTTTGTGACAGTGGGATATGGAGATATACCAATATAGTTGTATTAGGGCTTATTTGATTTTTCATGTCTGATTTTTTGTATTTTTTTTTGTCTCCAATGTGTTAATTTCTGCTCTAATCTTTATCATTTCCTTCCTCATACAAACCTTTGACTTAGACTATTCTTTTGTAGAAGTTTGAGCTTCACCATTAATTTGTTTATATGTGCTTGTTCTATTTTCCTGATATAAGTATTTACTGCAATAAATTTTCCTCTTTGGCCTGTTTTCATTTTGTCTCCTAAGTTCTAGTATGTTGTATTGTCATTATCATTCAACTGTAAAAGCTGTCTAATTTCTTCTTTAATTTCATCTGTGACCCATTGGTTCAGGTGAATGCTATTTAATTTCTATGCATTTATGAAGTTCTTGTGGTGTCTTTTGCCATGGATTTCCAATTGCATTGCACTGTGTTTCAGTAATATGCATGGGATAATTTCAGTTCCTTTGCATTCACTTAATCATTCGCTATTAGCTAGTATGTGGTATCCTTTAGAGAACATCTTGTGTGCAGCTGAGAAAAATGTGTATTCTGATGTTGTATAGTGAAACACGTTATGGATTTCTACTAACTCCATTTATTCAAAAGTTTGGTTCATTACTAATATTTCACTTTTGATTTTTTTGTCTAGTTGATCTGCCTTTTTATGATAGTGGGATATGGAGATATACCAATATAGTTGTATTAGGGCTTATTTGATTTTTCATGCCTGTTAGTATTTATTTTATATGGTTAAGTGCACTAGTATTTGTTGCTATATATTATGATTGTTATCGCTTCCTCTTAGATTGCTCCTTTTACAAGGATACTGTGACTTTCCTTCTCTCTCTGCATCAGTTTTACCTTGAAATTCACTCTTTGGAAATAGAATGGATACTTCTGAGTTTTTTTCTGAGTTTCTTCCTGTGCAATGGAGTATTGTTTTCTGTCCTTTGATTTCCAGTCTATGAATTTCTTTTTGATTAACTGTGTTTCTTGCATGCAGTACAGTTTTGGGTCTTGCTTCTTGATCCATTCTGCCACTCTGTGTCTTTGCATTGGTGAATTGCAACTATTAACATTGAAGTTAAAACTGGTATTTATTAACATTTCCTTGTCACATTATTTTCCTGTTATTAACTCCCCTTTTTGTTTTCCTCCTGCCTGTTTATTTGTTTGCTTTGCCTGGTGGGTTCCTTCTGTTGGGGTTTATGGAGTTGAAGTCTTTGCTATCTCTTTCTAGAATATCTTTTAAAACATTTTGGAGTGCTGGTTTGTTGTTAATAAATCTCCATGGATGTTCTTTGTCATGGAAGTGTCTTATTTTTCTGTCAGTTTTGAAAGATAGTTTTGCGGGGTACATCAATCTGGGTTGAAGATTGTTCTCCTTCAGAACTTGAGATACTTTAGCAGAAGCTGTCCTTGACTTGAGAGTTTGTGTGAGAAGTCAGCTGTGATCTGATAGGCTTTCCTTTATAGGTGATTTCTTTGTTTTCCCTATTCTATTCCTGTGTTGAATTTCTAGAATCTTGACTATGCTATTCTTAGCTCCAGGGTTTTTTTTTTAATCATGGCTAATAGCATGCGTGGAGTTCTATATTTCTCACTTACCTGTATGTCAAAATCTTCCCTGCCATGATGTCTGTGAACTGCTTTTTAAAGATTCTATTCCTGTGTTGAATTTCTGGAATCTTGACTATGCTATGCTTAGTTTTTTTTTTTTTTTTTTTTTTTTTTTTTTTTTATCATGGCTAATTGGGGTTGTGTATTTTTCACCTCCCTGTATGCCAAAATCTTTTTCTCTGCCATGATGTCTGTGAACTGCTTTTTTATAGTATTAGTATCATCTCCTGCGTTTTCACTGACTCCAGTGAATCTTAAGGTATTCTTCTGTGCCTTATCTAGCAGCTGCTGCATTGTTTTCTAGTGATTCCTTGCTGTTTTTAAGAAATCTTTATTTTCATTATCACAGACTGCAAGCTTGTCTTCTATTTCTGAGATCTTGTCCTCACATTGGCTTAATCTGCTTGAATACGTTCAATGCAACTTTTATTTTCCTGAATATCTGTTTCAATCTACCTTATGGTAGATTCAGTTTTTTCCCTATTATGTGGATTCGTGGCTTTCATGATTTTCTTAAACTCATCTATTCTTTTGTCTGTAATTGCTCTAGTGTCAATAAATCTAGTCTTTATTTCAGTCACCATCTCTGCAGTTAGCTGAGAGATTTTCTTACTTGATTTTTTTCTAGAGCCTCAGTCAGTTGCTTTGTTGTTATCTCTTCAAAGAGGCTAGGTGGGAGGCTTTCGAATTGTCCTACCTCATCCCCCTAAGTTTGCTTTTGGTGAGCTGAATGCCTGAGGTTGCTTCTTGTTTAAGTAGCTTCTCATTTTCTTTTATTTTTGTAGTTTAATTCCTGGGTTGATACTTGTAAATTGGTGGGTTACTTTATTGCTAGTACTTAAGACCTCTAGGGAATGACTGCTTCTCTGAGGTATCTTTCAGGTGTAGTAGCCACCTTTAAGTCTGTTGCCATATGCCAGTGTCTGGATGTTGACTCTCAGAGGCTCTTTCTTGGCTGCCTACTGCTCCTCCATCCTTGTTTTCACCTTCTGTGTATCCTGATATTTGGTTGTAAAGTCTAAAGTCTTTGATGAAGGCAACCCAAATATTAGCATTTCAAAAAAAAAAAAAAAAAAAAAAAAACCTAGTAGTAACAGCTATGTCACCTTGACTGAAGTAATAAAATCAGCACCAGATAGCATCAGATATACAAGTAAGTGTTGATAAATGCTAAAGACCAATAATGTACCCCTACCTGTAGAAAAGAGATTTATAATTATAGTATGAACACTCAAATCAAATGTTGACCTATAGTTGACCTACAGTTAATATCTAGTAAATGTAACAACTTTGCCTCTGCAAACAATAGAACGATACCCAATAGCAGTAGCATAAAATTAACTAGCTACTTAGAGATTCATAAAGCTTAGTAGTTATACTATTAAAGGAAGAAGGCCTGGGGAAGCAGAAGGAAAAAAGGATATTTTGAGAATTAAACAGTCGGACATAAGAAGTAAAGAAAAGTGAGATGAAAGGTCATATGAAGTAATAAAAGGAAATTAATAATGTTAAAGAATAGTTACAAGAAAAAAACAACCAGGAAAAAGAAAGGACTGGGGATATAGCTCACTGGCACAGTGCCTGCCTGGCAAGTGCAAGATTGTGAGTTCAATTCCTGGTACCACCAAAAAAAAAAAGTTAAGCAAAGTGAAATACATGAAATAAAAGGTAAAGAAGAGGAAAAAAGTTGACAGGAAAAGAGGATAAATGAAAGAATGAAAAAGGGAGAAAAAAAACTTGTTGAAATAGAAAATAGGAAAAAAAAAATCAAAGATAGATTATGTTAATGAAAAATTCCCATGGTTTTGAATGAGAGGTTTCTAAGATCTGGATTCTTGGGACCCACCCAATCAAAATTTTCTCCACCTACTTTTAGGGCTTATGGCTTTTAGAGATGCATTCTGTGTTCCAGAGGACACTGTCGGTTTCTCCTGAACTGGGTTGCTGTCCAAATCAAGGCATGTTTTTGCTCCTCGGGATAGATGAAAAATGTGATCAACCCTCAGGGTTCAAGTGTTCTGTTGGATTTAAATTCCCACAATCTCGGTGTCTTGTTGTTTCCTTCTCTTTCTGAGGATTGTGCATATCAGTATGAACCTGCTGGTTAGATTTCACTGAGCCCTGCTGTACTGTACTATGGGGAAGCAAAATTTAGAGCTAGTTGGAAGTTGGTGAATGATCTTGCTCTTTTGCCTGGGCACTGGTCCAGCAAGGGGCTACTTTTTCCCATGAGAGGAGAGTTGTGGTGGGTCTCAGAAACCTTTTTGATTTTATTTATTGTGTTGATTTTTAAATTTTTATTTTGATTTTTTGAGACAAGGTCTTTTCATATAGTTTAGTTGGGCCTTGAACTCACTGTGTTGCCCAGGCTGGCCTTAAACTCGCAGCAGTCTGCCTACCTCAGCGTCCTAAATTCTGGGATTACAGGCATATACCACCATGCTTGGCCTCAAAAACCTTTTTAAAAACAATGTTAACATAATGCTTGTAGCTCATAGCACTGAAATTAATAACTGCTTTAAAGAAATTCTTAAACTATAGCTATTAATGGAAATACTTCTTTTCTTGACAGTGTTTTCCATGTTTAGAGTGACAAGTAATTCTCTGCTAATTTTTCTCACTCTGTCTTTCCCTTAAAGAGAAAAACTTTCTTTTTGGGTTTTATTTTTAATGGAAATGGCAATATAGTCTGTTTACACCAATTTAAAATCATTATGTATGTGTGTGTGTGTGTGTGTGTGTGTGTGTGTGTATATATACCATACCATTTAATTGTCCAATTGTAATATTTTTTAACTGCCTTACAAAATGTGGTATTCAGTAATTTCCTTATTCAGGTAATACAGTGTTATTGCTGTCTCCCTCATACTGGAAGTAATACTGAAAAGATCACAAATTATACTACAAAGACAGAAGCACAATTTAATGTATACTTATATACACAACTGAATCATTCATAGTTCTTTGCCCTTTGTTTATTTGAGTTGCATAAGAATATTAAAACTTGAGAGTATTTTTAGTATTTCCTTTCCATGTGTTTGCAAACATCACAGTTTAATATCAAAAGTCTGTTATAAATTAGATTATGTTGGTGGATGCCTTTGATTTCAGCTGTTTGTGAAGCTGAGACAGGAAGACTGCAAATTTAATCTCAGCCTAGGCAACTTGGCACCTAGGCATAACCCTGTGTCTCAAAATAAAAAGGCCTAGAGATATAGTTCAGTGCAAAGGTTAAGGGTTTAGTATTTAATACTACTGCAAAAGAATTCTATTTTAAATTTTCTTTCTACCTTGCTTAGCATCTGTATAAAGGTTGAAGAAATTACTTTTCTGAATAGAAGAATTAATTTTATTTTGTAGAACAGTTTATAGTATATGTCTGCCAAGAAGTGGTAATTACTGTATGTATTGTAAGTAATGAGATTAGGATTTATGTAGAGCTTTTACTGTGAAGTTATTCTAATAATACTGATGAGTCCACAAAATTGGTAGACAATGTGTTGTTTCCATTTCTGTACTATCCTGAATTAGTGTTCAATTTGAAAGTAACTATCCGGATCTGTTGCTTTTCAAAATTCCCTCTTATTTGGAACAGTGTCACAAAACATATGCACTACTTTGACAAAATCTTGATAATTATGTAATTATTCCTGTTTAAAAACATATCATAGTAGGCAGCCTTTTGGTTTTCTTTTTAAGTTTTCCAAAAATGCAAATACTAATGTCAGACTCTTAATCCATTAACTATTGCATGAGCTTTTTTAGCTGTTAGAAGAACATTACATTTTTAAAAGACTTTTGGAATTATGTATATGGTTCTGCTGTGGGTTGTGCCAAAAGCTGTTTTATTTCCTTCCTCCTTTCTTCATTCACTTTCTTGCTCTACATGGAATGCATCTTGTTCTTTTATGACTTTTTATATCTCCCATTTCATATGTTGTTTTTCTGTTTCCTATTCTTTCTGCCCTTTATCTGTCTTCCTGTGTATTTTTCCTCCTCATGTATATCTGTAGTTTTCAAGTTTTTAAATCATGTAATCTCTTAGTCCCCTGGAAATTTTATATCTTCTTGAAAAAACCTACACTTAAACTCCAATTTATATTTCATATGTTAATCTTCTTGAGTTACTCATATTTGCTTTTGACTAATTTTGTATCTTACTCTGAAAATATAGCATATTTATTTTGTGAAATTGTTCCTACTTTGATTACCTAAATTGCTACTTTATTTTCTCAAGAAGATTAAAGAAAATAGTCTAAATTGTTTTATACATATCCAATTTATGTTAGCTACTTTACACATAAATTATATGAAATATTTCTCATATGTGCATAAAAATTTAAAATGAAATATTAAAAGTATTAAATGTCAAATTGGTCTCTTTTTTTTAGAAAATTGTGTAACTAGTAGTAAAAAAGTGTATTTGCAGTGTGTCCATATTTATTTTTTATTATCTTAAATATAAAAGTTACTTTTAAGTAGACACTTTTTAATCAGTAGAATATTGTCTTTAAATGTGTTTACATATATCATGTACATTTATATATGATACTATTAGAATGTTCTATAGATTCCAGAGAACACTATAGGTCTATCTTGTATTTTTTGTTAATTATATAAAAATATTCAAGTAGTATATTGCAGCTTATAGCTTCTCAGCACTACTTGTATTTTGTGGAAATAATGTCATTGTAAAGACCTTATGAAGAGGTTCTATATTTTAAGATTGAATTTTGGGGTGTCATACATATACCTTGGAATTATTTTACTATTGTTTTAGAATTTGACGTAGAATTTTGTAACTTTGATTCAAAAAATATATTAATTATTGGTATTTAGAAATATAGTTAATTCTCTGTACTTGTCACCACTTGATTTAAGTAGTATATTAAGATTCAATTAAATGATGGTGAATGAAATGGGATGAGATGATAGAAAATGTTGAATCTGTATATATCTGAACTCTCTTGAGTTTCAGACACCTAGTTTTTACACTGCACTGTGCAGTCTGACATTTCCGTTGGGCAGCTTTTAAAGTCAAAACGATGAAATATATCAACTTCAAGTAATTCAGGGGGAATCTAGTGGAACAGTTTTGTTTTAATTTACCAACAAGCACTAATAATAAATATTAGGGCAAAAATCCTTCTGTTACAAAAAATGTTTTCCGCCGGGGATTTAGCTCAGTGGCTTAAGTGCCTGCCTTTCAAGTGTGTGGTGGTGAGTTCAATCCCCGGTACAGATTTAAAAAAAAAAGAAAGAAAGAAAGAAACAAAAAATGTTTTCCAGGTAAGTTTTTTAAAAAGTAACTCCTAAGTATAAAATATTTTTCTGGTTAGAAGAGCATTGTTACAGATTAAAAACTGCCCCATAAATTACTGTGAGAGATAAGGAGCATATCTTGAAGTTCATTGTGAGATATTCTATTGATCTGAGTTCCAAATCTATATTTTGTTTCTTTGATTCTTAGTTGATTTTAAAAATTTGGTCCAATTTTGTCAGTGCAGCTGTTCTTTTTGATGGGAGGTACTGGTTGTAGTAATTTGGCAATCTGTGTTTAACTGTGATTTATTTGGAAGACCGTAAAATACATTTTGTGTTCCTCAATGTCAGCAGTACTTAAGTCATTGTAATATTATCATTATACTGACTCTAGGAATAAAGTAATAAAAGATAATTAAATAGGCCGGTGGCATTTGCTTGTAATCCCAGTACTCGGAAGTCTGAGGCAAGAGGACTGGTGTGAGTTCAAGGCCAGCCTGGGCTACAAAGTTAGTTCAAGGCCAGCCTGAACTATATATTAAAACCCTGTCTCAGAAAGACACACACACAAAAATAGTGTGAAATAAAATCTGTATTCAGATGGCTAAATTTTTATGGGAATATAAAGTTTACCTATTCATTTTGGAAAATAGTTTTAAAAACTTAAAGTTGAAAAATAATAGTTTATTCATAGTTTGATAGTGGAGTTCTTCACTTTTCTCCTGTAGGCTATTCACTCTGTTGCTTGGCATCATGAAGGAAAACAGTTTATCTGCAGTCATTCAGATGGTACCTTGACCATATGGAATGTGAGGTCCCCTACAAAACCTGTACAGACAATCACACCACATGGTAAGGATAGTTTGATTTTATGCACTGCCTAAATTGTGATGGTTAGTAAACTGTTTCATTTGAGTTTGGGTTTGTTTGATTTCAGTGAGGGAATGTTGTGTGCATTTAATGTAATGAATGTGGTGTTATCTTTTGAGTATTGTTTCAGTAGTCCAAAAACAGTTTTGTGAGTAATACAGCTTTTGTCATTTTAAAGCTATCACTTGCAAGTTGTTAATGTGTGTGTAGCAGTGTACTTGAAACATATTTCTGCAGGAGGTAATTTTGTATTGTAATATGTTCAGAATTCCCAAGGTCATCCCATATTTGATGACTCACTAGGAAAACTTGCAGGACTCGGCATATGGTTATATGCACTGCTGCAAATTATTACTGCAAAGGACCTACAGCAAAACTGGTGAAGGGAAAAGGCACTTGGGGTGAAGTCTGGAGAAAATCAGGCTAAGGAAGCACCCATGAGCTCTCTCCCCATGAAGTCACGTGAGACAAGCTTCGTCTTTCAGTAATGAGTTGTTACCATATGAGTACAATATTATCTATCAGAGAAACTCATGTGAACATAGGCATTCAGGATCAGTTGTGTAGGCACCCTCTGGTTTAAAGTACATCAAAATTCCACTCAGAAGGAAGAGTGGTTCAGTGTAAATTACATGCTTTGTAGAAACAGTTTAGGTACAATGAACCAGTCTTTCAATCATAGAAAGGGATCTATCTCAAAATCTAAGTTCCTATATACCAACCAGCAGCCAATTTTACAAGTAGATTTTCCCAGGGATACCAGTTAGACCTGCTGTATAAACTTATTTCTGCACAAGTAGTAGTTTAAAAACCTGTAAGAAATTTTTATTGGAGTATTCATTAAAATCAGATTAAGAAAGCCTTCTTTTCATTTCAGAATCAGTATTTCTTTATTAATCTGCATTTTCCATCCCTTCAACCGAAGAGAATCCTTCCTGAGAAATTCAGAAAATCATTTAAAGAAACTGTTCTACAGAGACTTCTTGTAACCTAATGACATTATTTCATTGTTTATTAAAGTATGAATACCCATTTTACAAAATGCATTCTGAATTAATGCATCATAGAAATTAAGGAAATAATAAAATTAAAAACTAATTTTAGGTTTGTTCATTGTCTCTGCAGAGTAACAATTCTTCGCAAAACATGCAGCTGTTGTCTTCACATACCACTGCTTTGTAATGACAGTCATCTGTTAGAAAAGCACTGTCTAAATTTGCTACAGACCTAATTATGAAGTAGTCTAGAGGATATTTCTTATGATAGTAGGTTCTAGTTTTTTTTAGCATATTTTTCTTCTTGCATTGCTGCCTAGGTCCATAATTGTGATAGTCCTAAAAGTTCCCATAAATCTTAGGGTCTCCCAGTGCTTCTGGAACCTACTCATCTAGAAAACCAAAAAAGTAGCAATTAAGAGATGTTAGTTCAAAACTGTTTGATTTTAAACCCAGATCAAAATGAAACTAGTCAGTAGTTGATAGAAAAATACATAGATTTTATATCTTGAAGCTTGTCATTTATTACATTTTTAAAAAGGAATAGTATAGGATTAACAATGTAGTTGAGGGTGAAAATGCTTGGCTAGTGTTTTCAAGGCCCTGGGTTCAATCCTCAGCACTGCAAAACAAAACAGAACAACAGAAATAGTACCAAGGATATTTTTTTCTTTTTAGCCATTTGACCGTGAGATGTGAATATGGTGCTCATTGTACACACACACACACACACACACACACACACACAGACACACACATTTTATGTATTTTTTCTAAAAATGAGGTCATTTTTTATGCTATTAAATTTTATCTTTTATCATGAATTTTACTTGTGAATTAGGTATTGTATTTCTTCTTCAACCCTTAAAAACTGCAACATTTCTTAAGGATTTTCTTGACTTTCATATCTGAATTATAAAAATTATGTTTCTTTATACAGTGTACTTCAGTATTGTTGAATATTTCTTCATGATTAGATGCAGTTTATACTTTTTTCATGAAGCGTAACCCAGAAAGATTGATGTGTCTTTTTTGTAAATTCTCAAGTGGAACTTGGTTTTTGATGTATGTCTTACTGGTTATCTCTCATACTCTGATCCCTTGATTAAAGTTGTATATGCTATGTCTATTTTATAAAATTACTCTTTCCCCTTTGAAATTAAAAGTATTTTCATTTGTATTACAGTTATTTGGATTTGAAAGCATTTCTTTGAGCCTATTTGCATATTGTTCCTCATCAGACTTTTACCCTCTAGTTTTAGCATCCCTTGATGTTTTGTGGCTGAATTATTACTGTAACACTGCCAAATGTTGATTTTCTATTTAATATTAGTTCTTTTTTTAATAGTACAAAAATCATTAATTTAGATCAGAAGTGGAATAAGTCAGTTTCTAAAATGTTTATAGTTATCTTAGTGGAAAAGACCCAGTAGCTAAAGTTACTCGTAAACCAGTAAGACAAAGAATATTTGATTTACCTACCAAGTTTTCTCAAAATTAGAATCCAAACAAAATGGAAATCGAGTAGATTTTTTTCTTTGATAGGTATTAAAAAATAAGATGGCTTTTATTGCACGATGTAGTCTTCTAAATATAAATGGTCAGAATTTTATCTTATTAATTTTATTTAAATAAAAATTTAAAATTTAAAAATTTATTATAGTAAAGCACACATTAATTTTACTCATATTACTCATCTTCAATTCAAAGACATACCATCAGTCTTGCTACTTTCAGAAGCAGTTCTGGAAATCCTCTTTTGTGTCTCTATGAGTAAGGTACAATAAAAAATAACGTGACTGCATTTGTCAGCTGCCATTAAATGGAAACGCATGCTGGTTAAAAACATTAAGATGTGTCTATATCCACCTTCCTCACTGGATCTGCTATTGGATTTCTGGCTCTTTCTTAAAGTCAAAGGACCATGAAAGGTAAACCTTTCGAATTAATTCAAGGCATTAAGACAGCCAGGACAAAAAACTGAAGATAAAGAGGGTTTCTAGAACTGCCACAAGGAGTTAGAACTATGGTCTAAATGTGTTTGAAGGAAGGAAGAGTATCTTGAGAGGAATTAAGGCAATGTGTTTTACTGTAATAACTTAAAAAATGTGAACATAGTGTTTTTCCAATCATACAGCATACTTACAAAATATGAATCCTTTGAAACAGTTGTAATGTTTATTGCTTACATCTTAGCTTACTGGTAGTGGTAGGTAATCTACCAGAGCAACTTTGTGTTGTCAACTGAGTTCATCGCAAAGCTAAACGTATTTTGATACGTTAAAGAGCAAACATTGGGGCTGGGGATTTAGCTCAGCAGCATAAGCGCCTGTCTTGAGAGCAGGCAGTCGTGAGTTCGATCCTCAGTACCGATAAAAAGGAAAAAGACAAAAAAAAAAAAGAGCAAACATTAAAGAACCCGAAGACTTGTGATTGAGTCTTAGTTCCATAGTTTCTGGCTCTGTAATTTTTGGGAAGTTGGATAACGTTTCTAAGCGTCACCATTCTCATTTATAAATTGAAATAATAGTGAAATTTAATCTAGTTGCTTCATGTGGTTGTTGTAGGGACTGCATTTATTCATTCAACAAATGTTTATTGATTCAACTGTATGAGATAGATACTATTCTAGGTCATCAGTCTAATAAACAGCATGAAAGTATAAGTCCTTTACCTTGATATGCTACATAAAACACAAATCTGGAAATTGTTACTTTTTAGGATATATTAGAATAGTGTTCCCAAAAATATGTTTTACTAATATTTTTGTTGTTGATGGTGGGTGGTTTGGTTCAAGAAGATTATCACTGTAAAGAAGTTTTTCAAATGCTGAATTAAGTTGAACACTTTTTTTTTCATTACAAGGTACAACAGGTGATTTTTTGAGTACCTGAAGCAAACACAAAGTGATAATGTCTTTATCTAGTTTTCATTAATATCCAAAAACATATTCTAACCTGACCGTCAAGACAACTTGGAATCTAATTCTAATTTTGTTACATGTGAATATTTTATGTAATTTCTATTCTTTGGGACTTAGTTTTATTACATGAAAAATGGAGGGATTGAATTAAATGACTTTTAAGGTTAAAATGTGAATATGTAGAAGTTAAGTGGAATTTGGTGACACATATTGAGTGAAGTTATTTCAGTTGTCTGTGGATTCTGTATTTATGTCTGGGGTATGCTGTGCTTCTCTCTTCTCTCTTGTAGCAGATAGACTTTCATTATTTAGGATGGAATAACATTGATAGTCCTGGATTGTCTCACATTTTTACACTGAAGTAGTCATCTTATATATGTGATTTGATGGGCCAGGGGCCCATATGATGAGTCCTATAGCTCTGGAGTGGAAATGATGTGTTGTAGAGTCAGATTTTCTGTTTCCTTCACTAGAAAAGGTAACTTTCTAAGAAAATGGAGATGCTAGGCAGTCAGAAGAAATAGATGTCCACAATAGAAAGTGACATTTTAGAGTTTAGTTTCTAGAGCAATCTCATTCTACGTATATAAACCAAGATTATAGAACTTTTATTCTATTATGGGTCCTAAGAAAAAATAGAACCAAAATACACATAAATAAAAGTTCATAGCATATGTTAAAGAAGAAACATACAAATCTATTTACCTACTTTTAAAATTCATCCAAAACATAAAGCTTTATCTCAGTCTTTGTATAGACTTTTTTCCACTTTATATATTTGAAAGGACTTATCTGCCTCCAGAACATGCTCAAATAAGGTTTTATTTAGAGACAAAGAATACAAGAAAAATTAAGCGAATGCAGGGAGTCATCCTGAAAGCACCCCTTATGCAGGCTCCACATGGGCATGCACTTACATGCGGGAATTCAGATGCAGTCACAAGGTGTGTTTTCTGAAAAAAGCCTTCCTTCAAGAGAAACTCGCAGGGAGGCCCTTTAAATAAGCCACCCAACCTTGGCAGTCAGTGCACTGGGGACTTCTAGTGGAGTTTGCACCTTGAATG